CGGCCATGTGTAGTCACTCTGGGGACTGCATTATTTTGTTGTATGGCTCTGTTACTCTAGGATGTCTGAATCCTTCACTAGATCTTCCGCATCCAGCCAGCAGATGAGGGAAGATATAATGTAAAGGATCACACAGAAAAAGTTTAAGATGAGATCTAGAAAATGGGCTACATGTTATAGGCCAGAGCTCAGTCAGGTGACTTTATACAGGAAGGTTGAGAAATATAGTCCAGCTATCAGCTCATAAAGTGGATCTTATGGTACCATCCATCAGACTCTATTTCCTTAGCTATCACATATGGATTTCTATATTAGATACTTTTGTGTGTTATAATTTATTCCTTTTAAGGGTTCAGACATAGATTTGAGTCATTTTCCTTAATCTTAGATCGCTTACCTTCTCTATTGGTCTCTTTTTCCTCTAATAAATATGTTCTACATAATAAAGCCGACTTGTTCTAAACAGGCTAATTGCTTCTATAATTTCACATCTACTTTGACAAAAATGTTTAAAGTATAGTGTGTATGTGTATTTGATTTCTTTGCTTTGCTTTTTACCAACAGAGTAGTTTTTGAGGTAGATACCATGTAAAAAATCCAATTTTATCACTTAGTCAATGTTTTTCACACCTACTATGAAACTATATTTAATTAAAAGGACACTTCTGCAGGCAACTTCAGATGCAACATGTGTAAAAATAAAAGTTCTTTTTCTTCTACCCAATATCTTTTCCTGTCTCAGTTAATAAAATAACCTACCAGGGGAGCTTAAATTTTCCAGTTTATCTTTTACTGTGCCCTCAGCAATATCCAAATTTAAGGGTAATCTAATTAATATTGTCTTATTTTACATACAAATGTGTCATTGTCTGATAATTGGAAAATACTAGCAAATGATTGTATGTAACTAGTGCTTTTTCTCTGATAATTATAAACTATCTGTGATGGTTCATTGATTGTGTGAACTTTAGAAGTTGAGTTAAGAGAAATTTAAATTGGCTCAGTAATTCCATGCCCGAGGGCATGGAGGACCCACTGTAGGTGGCTCCTTGCCTGGATGGTATAAAGGGGAAATGAGGAAAGACAGATCTGCTTCTGTTCCTTTGGAAGAGCTTTAGTCTTCACCTTCCAGAGCAGACTCTTCTTCTGGCAGATCCTTCAACCTGTGGTGTAGACTTTTCAGCCTTCCATTGCAGACCTATCGGCCTCCTGTCTGACTCCACAGGACATTGCAGTGAGCTCTAGACCTTCAAGTAAATCCTTGCATCTCCACTGCACAGACCTTCTGCACTCTTTCTCATCCAACTCTGTGTGGCCACTGTAAGCCAATCTTATAAATTCATATATATTTGTATATTTTGTTTTATATTGGTTTCTCTAGCAAATACTGATATGCCAGCCTATCTTTACAGATTAATTTTTTAAAAAAATTATTTTCTTTCATTTATTCTCTGTTCTCTAGGAACACAAATGATATCTATGATACCCAATTCTAGTTATTTTATCACACATATATTGATTTCTATTCTGCATTTTTGTGTTCTGAGAGGATTTTTAAGGTTGTCTTTGACTCATATTTTCTGTATGGACAAATCTGTTTTATTTCTTCATTCTATATTTGTTTCTTGTAGGTACATTAGCAAAGTGTTATAAACTGGGTCATTTAAAACAACAGAAATTCATTCCCTTGTGGTTCTGGAGGTCTAAAGTCCAAAGTCAGGTTCTTGGCAGGACTGTGCTCCCTCCAGAGGTTCTAAGAGAGAATCTATACTTTGACTTTTCCTGCTTCTAGTGGCCTTTCGAGTTCCTTGGTCTGTAGATACATCACTCCAATCTCTTCCTTCTTGGTCACATAACCTCCTCCTCTTCAGGGTGTGTGGGGCTGATTCTCCCTTTCTCTTACAAGAATACATGTCATTGCATTTAGCGCTCACCTGCATAGTCCAGAATAAACCCCTTATCTCAAGATCCTTATCATAATTATGTCTTTCCCAAAGCACGTATATAAAGTAACATAAATTTTGAGAATTGGGATGTGGACATATCTTTTTGGTGGGAGCACTATTCAGCTTACTACACATTGCTAATTTTCCATTTATTTATCTTATTTTCATTTTTTACTTAGTATTTCTAATGCTATAGAAGATTTATTTTTCTGCTGTTTTAAAGAGAGATAGCTGTGATTTCATGTTTTGGGTACATAATGAAATAAAAATTGGACTGAGTTGACTGATATATGTTCAAATCTATAACCCTCGCAGATACACTTGCTCATATTTGTATCAAAAGAAAAATGGTGGATAGAAATTTCAAGACAAAAAGCCCATGGAACAGGAAAGTAGAAAGAATAATCCCAACACTTTATCATTATAGCCATGGCAAACCCCGTATTCACCACGGTTATTAAGGTCACCAATCCCTTCACCTTATTAAAGGTTACCTTCCATTTTCCCATCTTTCAGGGACTACTGATGCAGTTAACACCTTAAATTTCTTATGCTCTTCCCTTAACTTCCAAGAACCTTACCAGAATGTTTTTAGTATTGTCCTATCTTGTTAACGTCTCTTTATTTCCCTCTTTTAGCACCTGAGGTTGAAATATTGTAGCACTCTAGGAACTAGTTTTTAAGTCTATTTATTCAGTATTTCACAAAGTAGCCTCATTCAACACTGTTACACATGTCTGTATCAAGGCCTTTATACTAGCAGTTTTCTCTACTTAGAAACCACTGCAGACCTTCACAGGGCTATCTCCATATTATTCACATACACATCCTACATTTATTTATTTATTGTTTAACCTAATATGGCCAAACATAAATAATAACTCCTGATCTTCCCTGACTGAGTTATTGGCATTAATATTTGCTTAGTTTTTCAAACTAAAGCCCTTGAAAACAGAAAGAAGGAAAAAACACCACAGTATATCAGTCTATCCTTAAAGTGAAATCCATCAGCTGGTATTATTGGCTCTACCTACACAATATATCCAGAAACTGAGCTTTTCTCACAACACAGTGTCATAGGCAGAATTCTAAGGTGGGCCACAATGTCCAACTGTCACTACATGCTTTTAGGACAGTGAATATGATAGCTTTTACTTCTGCAATTATGTTATGTGGCATAGATGACCTTAAGATATTGAGATTATCCAGGTAGCCTTAACACAATCAGTTGAGTGTTTGAAAGCACAGTTTTCTTTGGCTCATCACAGAAGAAAAAGATATTTGAAGCATGAAAATACTGACACACTTTGCTGACTTGATGAAGGGGAATATTTGTGAAAGAATACAGAGAGCCTATAGAAGATGAGAACAATGGCTGGCTGACAGCCATTGAAAAAGGGGAAACTAAGCCCTCTAACCACATGGAAACAAATTCTTTGAGTAGTTTGAATAAGCTTGGAAAAAGATTTCCCCACAGCCCCCAATTAAGAGTTCAGGTGACACAGTGATTTTGGCTTTTGAGTCACTAAGTAGAGAATTCAGCCACACTATGCTTGGATTTATGACTTACAGGACTGTGATGATAAGTGAGTGTTATTTTAAATTATCACATAGTGGTAACTGAATATGCAGTAGTAGAAAACCAATCCAAGTGCTAAAACCCTAATCCAAGGTATCACAGTCGGTAGCCTGTATATAGAAACAGCCTGCAAATTTTACTTCCTCTTTGTATCCTTATTTTCTACATTCCATCCCCTGTAGAACACCCATAGAACGCCCATGGTTCTTAAATCATTCTTTTTGAACTATAAATGAGATTACATTGCTCCCCAATGACTTTGTCACTACTTAGAATCCCAAATTCTTTAACATGGAATATGTTAAACCGTCACCTAACTTCACCTCAACTCCTACCTCTAATCACAGCTATCCATTTATCAAACATGCTACACACTTACAACTTCAGAGATTTTATGCATACACTTACAGCTGGAATACTCATTAGTCATCTTATCATTTAGCTTGCAGCTTAAATGTCACCTCCATCTTTAACAATCCTATCTCTCTTCTACTTTAATCATTCCTTACTTGATAATTCAACTTTATTTTATAGTGTATTTTATTATTCAGTTAAACTTTTATGTGTTCATTCATTAACCAGTGTTTTTCTCTTTAACAAGACTATAAACTAAATGTAGTCAGTTTTTCATCAGGAAAGGGCTTTTTGAGTCTAGTTCATTTATATATCCCACAGCTTTTGTTGTTTTTCACTCTGGGAGAATATAATCAGCAATCAATGTTTTCTTCTTTTTCTTTTTGGCTTACTCCTACAGCATTTTATTTGGCAGAGACTCTTTCTTGGTCCTAGTAGGTACTCAATTTTTAGTTTTTAAAGGTGCTCATTAGAATATTTTTTCATTTATTTGGAAGTTATACTGTTACTTATACTATCAGATTGTAAGAAAGCCTGGGACTTTCCAACAGAGCTCTCCAGAGATAGATGCTCTTTTGGGAGATAGTTATTTACTATCAGAGGCAGGTATTCAGTTATAGGATAAACAGTTATGTGATGAGTAAATGGAAAGAACTGACGACTTTTGAAGCGCTCTTCCATATCTAAGACGTTATGACTCTACATGCATGAAAGTAGGCCCCATCACCAATGTCATTTCCACGAGGAGCCTGCTAAATGTTCATGTTTCAACATGCCTGCTTTTGTTTTATTTTGAATTTTATTATAAGCATGGGAATAAACTAGTTTTGAAAATATTTTAAATTTTATACTAATTAGGTTAGATATTATGAAATAATACTAAAGGTAAGATTCTTCTATGAGGTATCACCTGGCTAGCTTATAAGTAAAGTCAATATGCCTAAGTTATGACTTATTTCATTATGGAATTAAAAATATTTCATCTTTAACAAATACCTTATATTCAATTCTTTTATAGTTCATAAAGACATTTAGAAGAATATACTAGAACCTAGGGGAACTTAAGCTTCAATTATTCTCAGTTTAGTTTTATATTCTTTTATTAATTTAAAGCAACTCACCCTGGTGCATAATTGCATATAAAAATTGCAGCATTTTGAATAGTTCCAGCTGTTGAACATGCAGTCACAGCACAACCAACTTTGTAAGAGCTGTCCCAAACGAGCTAAAATAGTTGTTAAAAAATATATAATTTAATTCTAAACATTACTATCTCATTTTATGAATAATAATACATTCCATTCATACTTAATTTTTGGTTCTGATACAAATACTTACTGAACTCAATAATGTCTGTAATGTCAAGGGTATAGGTATGAGAAGCAAAGATCTCTGGCCTCTGTGTTTTATAAGATTATTATTATTATTATTATTATTATTATTATTATTTATTTATTTATTTTTTTTGGTACTGGGGATCGAACTCAGGTCCTTGGGCTTGTGAGGCAGGCGCCAGAACCTCTGAGCTAAATCCCCGGCCCTATCAGATGATTTTTAAACAGTGTGTTATGTGAAATAATAAAGGAGTATACAGATAATAAATAAAAAGTGGTTCAGTATTCATGGAATATAAGGTATAAGCATGGATTATTGGACATAGGAAGAGAAATAATGCTATAAATTTTTGCTTAAAACTTTTTATCAGTCAGGAATACAGTACTATGAATACTGGTTGGTGCAAAAAATCAAGTTTTTACTTTTGTTTACTGTCAATAATTTGTAAATAATTATTTACTATATTCTTATTTCCCCTTCCAGTGTGCACTATTTTTAGAAAAGTGTCTTTCATCTTTGGGTACACTATATATTATGGCTTTACCTAGATGTCTCCTCAAAGCCTCCTGTGGTCATAGGCAGGGCTTTTCGGAGGTGGCTGGATCCAGGATGTGTGAATTAAGAGTGCCCCACCTTGGATGTGGGAGGAACTAACCAATAGGTTTACAGTCTGGTTAGAGTAGTATAAAAGGCTGCTCCTGTTATTTTGCTGCTGTTGCTGCTGCTACTTCTGCTGCTGCCCTTGCTTGCTGCTTTTACTGCCTCCTGCCTTCCATGCCATAAACTGTTGTTTCTCCTCTGCCATTCCTCTCTTCCATGCTGTACTCCCTTGGGGCCAGCCATCTATGGACTGACACCTCTATAAATTTTAAGCCAAATAAACCTTTCCACCTTTAACTTTGGGTGTTGGGTATTTCTTGTCTCAGCAATAAGAAAAGTAACTAAGACACTATATTTAAAGGAATGTTTTGATGTTATGGTTTACATAAGAGAAGGAATTATGGATATTTTGAAGATAGGGGACTGATTCGAATTTTGATTTCATGAGAATAATTTTACCACTGGAGTTTGTTTATAAATATGAAATATAAAACTAGGAAGCAAAGCAATTAAGAAGTCTATGGAATTAATAAAAACATTAAAATTATATACCTGAATATAATGAGAGCAGTCTTCAGAGCAACTGTCATTTTCAAAAGTATACTTTTTCCTTTCTTCATACCAACTTCTGATAACAATACTAGCATTAAATTCATTTTGAGGGCCAACCCACATATTTTCACCAATAATAGCGAATGTAGGATGGGCCATTCGTACTTCTTCCAAATGAGTATTACGTTCAAGCACACATTTCTTTCCCTATGCTCGTGCAGTTCGTGATAGAGCTACATCCCAAGTCTGGAAAACAAAAACAAAAACACAAACACACACACAACAAGCAGAGACAATAATAGTAATTAAGCTTTTCTTATATTGTAAGTTATTTTCTTAAGAGTTCTGTCATTTAAGGAAAACAACTCTAACATTGTACTTACGAATCTTGTTTGTGGAATTTCTATAGTGGAAAACTTATTTGAGATAATCACAAGGGAAATGCCCCATGGTTCTCCTTCTATTGACTTATTTTGAATACAGTTCATGCAAAAAGTTCCTATTTTTATAATGCAAAAGTTCCTACCTTTAGTTTTTTTCAAATGAACTCTCTAACAATTTTCACAAGTATTCTACACAGTGTGCAGAATTACCAATCATGTACAGTTAGAAATAGGGATATATTTTGAAAAAGGTATCAAGCAGTTTTGCCATTGTGTGAACATTCTGGAGTGTACTTACACAAACCTGAATGTTATACATCTAGGCTATATGGAATATACCATCATATGTGTGTCACACTGGCTATATTTCTGTGTCACATAGGTTGTAACTAAAACATGAAGAGGGTAAGTAGATTACTTAATGTCTCAGAGTAAATTATGAAACCTGGATTTAAATGTAAGAAATCTAATTCTTAATTCTAAGTTTTTAAGCATTTTAATTCATTGCTCCTCATGACTGTGTACAAATAAATTTTGATAGTTCCAGGTTTCTTTATGTAATCATGAATAAAATTAGAGTTGTGAGTAAGGAAGAAGGGAGAAGTTTAGAGGAGCCATTTTGGGAAAGCTGAAATTTCCCAAAGAGGCCCCTGATTTATAAATTATCCTTAGTAAAACTATGCCAGCAGGAAAGCAACCAGACCAAACCGGTAGAGCATAGAGTCACCAGGAGTTTAAGGGGGCAGGGGCTCAATACACCAAGAAATTCTCATGGGAGAGGTAGGATCAGATACAGAGAAACAGACTTCATAATAGCCAGGAAAAGTTTTCAGCATAAGACTTTAAAAGAGAACCTCCCCTCAAAACACAGAGCCTGAAAAAAAATTTCTAGTTTAAGATCCAGGGAATTATTTCCCACTCGAAAAAAGTATCAGAAAAATATTTCCAGCCCAGGAGATACCTTTTAGACAAAGAGGGGTGGAACTCTAAGACAGCTTTAGAGCTTTACTCAGAATTTTAAGAATCAAAATCTGTTCTCACTGTTCTTCAAGAAACCATCACCCAAAGCACTGGCTTGTGAGTCAAACTCACCAAATGATCACCTGATCACTAAGACAGGCGTGAACTTTGACCTTTAAGGTGTGTACTTGGGGGCTTTGGTTGAGAGATCTATGGGTCTAATGATGAAACTGATTCTATTCATGTCACAGCACCATAACCGTTAAAGAAAGAATTATTTGTGACACTCATTAACACAACAAGGATGACTTTATTCAAAACTATTGTGACAATAATAAAGTAGAGATTGGCTCAAATTCAAATATAGCAAGGACAAGTGGGATTTTAACCCATGGAAGAAAGTCAATGGATGAAAAATTACTAAGATGAGACATCAAGAGTTGAATAGTTCTTATTAAACTGACCTAAGGAATTATTGCTCAAGGAAAACCAGGGTGCTTAAATATTAATGGGGGGCATTCTTTCTAAGTTTGGCTAGGTAGAATTTTTGCTAAAATTTATCAGGCCATGGGATGGGCCCAATTTGAAGATCTCATTAAGAGGACTCAGAAGAGTTTAGTTTGATCAAAGAGAGAGACTTTGCCAAAATATACATATTACTGATTTTAGAAAATGAGCACATGTAAATAATGGACTGTACGTAACAGGAATAACAAGGAGTAAAAGAAATAGAACCTTATTAAGAATCGTATTCTATGTATTATCCAGTACATTGCTATTTTATTTTTTGAACAGGTAATAAATCCAATAGTTTATAACATAAAAACTAAATAAAATTACTGACAAATTCTATTGTCCTGCTCTCTACCTCCCACATCCTTTTGATATAACCCAGATAACCAGCTGGCTCCTTGTGGATCTGTCAGGTGTTGATTGTTTGTTTGTTTTTCCCATAAGTTTATTAGTACATTTAAAGTAAACAAATAGTTACATTTATCATTGGGATCTTGTACTTTTACATATCTTAGTTCTTGTTTTTTCCACATACCCCTGCCCTCCCTTCACCCTTTTCACCCCCTTCACCCTTCACTATTTACAAAGACCTTGTTTCCATTTTTTCACTTTTTTTCTTTTCCCTTATTTCCTTTTCCCTCACATTCCCACTTCCCCTTTAGCCATTATTTCACACTCCTGATTACACTATTTGAACCTTATTTACACTTTTTGTTTGTCACACCAGAGAAACTATTTGGTATTTACTCGTGTGTCCTACTTATTTCACTTAAGAGTATAGCCTCATTGTGCATTCATTTAGCTGTAAATGTTTCTAGTTTCTCATCTTTATGGATGAGTAGTACTCCATTTTATAGAAAAACCACATATTCATCCAGTCTCCAGTTGATGGGCATTTGGGCTATTTCCAAGTTTTAGCTATTACGAACTGTGCTGCTATAAACATGTGTGCACATTTATCACTGTGATATGACTCTTTTAATTCATTTGGAAAGATACCCAGCAGAGGGATAGCTGGGTCAAATGAACCTATAATCCTAGTTCTTTGAGGTATCTCCATATTGATTTCCATAGTGGTTGCACCTGTCTGCACTCCCACCAAAATGAAGAAAGGTTCCTTCCCACATCCCTGCCAGCATTTGTTATTCGTTGATTCCTTGAGAGCAGCCATTCTGTTTGGGGTAAGATGGAATCTCAGTGTTGTTTTCATCTGCATCTCTTGAATGACCAGTGATGTTGAGCATTTTTTCATATATTTATTTGCTGCTTTTACTTCTTTGTCTGAGAAATGTATGTTCGTTTCAGATGCCTATTTTTGAATTGGGTCTTTGTATTTGGGGGTCTTTATATATTGTAGATAGTAGTTCTTTGTCTGAGGAATAGCTGGTAGAACTTTTTCCACATTGTAGATTGTCTCTTAGCTCTACTGGTGATTTCTCTAGCACTACAAAAACTTTTTAATACAATGGGAGCCCAGTGTGTTCTTTGTGCAAATTCTTGTGCTGATGCGGATTTGTTCATAAAGTCGTCTCTTATGCCAATGTCTTCAAGAGTTCTACCTAATTTAATTTCCAGTAAGTTTAGTGTTTCTGTTTTGATATTTAGATCTTTTATCCACTTGGATTTTAGTTTAGTGAATGGTGAAAGATAGGGATCTAGTTTTAATATTTGACAAGTTGAAAGCCAGTTTTTCCAACACCATTTATTAAAGAGGCTATCTTTCCTCCAGTAAGGATTGTTGGCTCCTTTGTCAAGGATGAGGTAGCTGAGTATGTCTGGTGTTGTTTCTCCATCTTCTAATCTATTCCATTTATCCTTGGTTCTGTTTCTTTGCAAGTACCAAGCTGTTTTTATCACAGTGATTTTGTAGTATAGTTTCAAGTTGGGAATTGTGATACCCCTTGCCATGTCTCTGTGTCCTAGAATGGTTTTTGCTATTCTTGGTCTCTTTTGGTTCCAAATGAATTTTTGGATTATTTTCTCAAGTTAAGTGAAATATACTGTTGGATTTCAATAGGGATTGCACTGAAACTGTATAGAAGTTTTGGAAATCTGTCCATTTTCAATATGTTGATTCTTTCTACCGAGGAGCAAGGGATGTCTTTCCATCTTCTTATATCCTCTTGCATCTCTTTTTTCAGAGTGCTGTAGTTTTCAATGTAGAGGTCTTTTGTCTCCTTCATTAGATTGATTCCTAGATATTTCATTTGTTTTTTTGTTTGAGAGAAGGAGTTGCTATGTAGTTCAGGCTGGCCTTGAACTCCCTATGTAGCCCAGGTAGGAGGAACTCCTGGAACTCCTGGAGATCCTCCTGTTTCATCCTCCCAAGTGCTGGGATTACAGGAGTGTGTCACCATGACTGGATGTTTTTTACTTTTTTTAAAAATAAAAAACATATTTTTTTCATTTTTCTCTCTTACATGAAATGAATCAAATTGTACCCTGCTTTTTTCAAGGTCAACTAGATATTTCCTTGTTAACATAGAGAGCTTCTGTATCTCCCCCCTCAGAAGCATGATATTCTTTTATGTTAATGAATCACAATTACGTTAGCCTTAATTTTGGTTTTCTAATCAATTGATACTACTTAGAAATGCTAGATTGTTATAATGAATAACCTTGCACTGATCTAATTTTCTTCTTACATGTTATGTTAGTAGAATAAATACTCAGAAATGGGATCTGAAGGCTGATGAGAAATAAATCTATAACTCCAGAGATCTTGTTGGATTCTTCTCTAAAGGAATTTTATCATTTTGTTCTCAAAACCAGTAATGCACAGAGTAGGGCAAGTCTTTCTGACTTTTATACCAAAATCAAGAAGCAATTTTGAAAAATTGATTGGTTAGCTACATAAATATATGTGAAGTCTGAATGGTAGGAATACAATAAATAGGTAAAAAAACATGATATACTGGGGGAATTAATTATAATTCATACCACAGATAAAGGCTAATTGTTCAGATACACAAGGAAAGGGAAAAAGGTTAAACTCTTAAAAATGGATAAAAGAAAGTAATATATCCATATTAACATGAAAATATGCACAACTTTGCTTATAGTGAGATAAATGAAAATTGAACCTATCCTCAAATACTATATCTCACTTTTGAGATCTCCCAAATTCCAAATGTTCAGCAATAGTTTTCTTGGCTAGTCTAAAATCACTGATCTAATTGGAGTTTATAATGATAGATGAGTAGAACATTACCTTTTTCAAATTATTACCATGGCATAGTAAAATCAAAAAAATTTTAAACGTCTATCCATATCTCATACATTTCAGGTGTTACTATTATCAAATAATAAACTCCCTTACATATTTGCCTTAAATCTGAATTCACTATATATTTCAAATGGATTACTTTTTAAATATACCAATACTATATT